CATACACGATAAACGATCGATGAATGAAATTGAGCCTCGGTAATTATAGGCGCGCTTATTGACCTTCGACACGTTAAATACTCAGCCGAGATTGTTCGTATTAATAGAGTACCAATCCTTACCCCTTATTCTTATTCCTCGGACGATTCTATTACAATACGATCTGTCAACGATAAATCACACACCGTTCACTTTGTAACACTAACCCTTGCCTAAAGGATTCATCCATTATTTATGAGTCACAGTAACGAGCATCAACATACAAACTCGATTCTTCGTCTTTCCTACGTCGATCGTGTCTTAATCCTTCGTTACCCAATGTTCATCTCTTTGTCATTGTATCAATCGCAACGTTCGATATGATTCCTTGTTCTTCAATTCTTCTGGTTACAATTCTCTTTGTCGCGTGAACCCGACGCCAAGGGACAAACGAAATTGAGAGAACAAGCGCGAGGGACAAAAGGGGCGAGTCGAAGTGGCCACGGGCTCGCAGGAAGGAAAAGAACCGTGGATATCCGCGATCGGTTGCAATCTAGATGAATCAGAGCACGAATGGGACGAGAAATTTGTCGAGCGCGTCCCTGGTGAACCGTGCACGACAGTAGGTTACCCTTGCAACCCTTGAGCCTCGACCCTTCCCTGGTAAATTCACCCCCGGCGTGTGTGTACACACACGCGCTCACGCACGAACGTCGACGGGGTGTAGTGACGTGTCGTCAGGTCCCACGGCGGCGATTCTCCGGAGACTGGAAAGGCCAAGTTCTTTCTGCCGCGATCGATCTTTCCGATGACATTCACCGCTCCCGTGTATCGGGCCGGCGCGCCGCGAAATCACGGCGATCTACAGCGTTTCTGAATCGGATTTCTATGCTCTGTTAACTCTGAAAACTCGCAAAAATCCCGCGAAGGTCTCGAAAACTTGCAAACGAAAATTCCTGCCTGTCGCCGTTGACAATAGAGCAGAAATTCCTCTGCTAATTAGTATTCATACGTATCTTTCGCTGCTAATCCAAACTTTAACGAGCAAAGTTCCCTCGGAGCTCGGCGTTCTCGAAATTCTCTTCGGAAAAATACAAAGATCGTCTGTAGATCGATTGACGAGAACTTCCTCCATTCCGTGCAATTAGCTTTCACCTATAATTGATGCTTCCAGGTGTAGAATTAGGTTTTTCTATCTTCGGAATCCTCGTAGAATCTTCAAAAGACTTCGCGCCTCGTCTGGAACCTCTTCAGAAGCTGATTTCCAGGATTCAACGCTCGCATTCGAGATTCCGTTGATCGAGTTACCGCTTCTCTTTCGTCTCGTATCAACCCTCGTACATCCCTTAATTCTTGAGTTCTTCCTGCAACATTTGAATTCGAATGTCCGAGCTCGTAGAATCGTTCGAGACGATCGACGCGTTGGGAATCGAAGTTCCCGAGTGTAAGCACTTGAAACTTGAACACAGTTTGTCCGCGTGATAGGAAGGCCAGGTGACCGAATTATTTGATCGCGGCGCGTCGACGCGTGTCGCGGCGGGCACGTGCACGGGTCGCGAGCGTACGCGGCGCCGAACGGCGTTTAATAGAGCGGCGCCGATATTAAAATCGATAACGATTCCAGTGAACGGCGGCGACGTTGTCGGCGGACCGCGGCCAGTCAGTCGGACGCTAATATTTTGATGCCGCCGATCAATTGGCCGTGTTACAAGCGCGTATTACAGGGCGAATCCAATTTTCAAGAATTATCCGACCGTCCCGACCACCTGGGAACACCTACACCGTCGTGATCGACGGTTTCGCTGAACCGTGGTGTTTGCATCGCGAGCCTTTCTTATTTGTCCGTTAAAAAAAATTATGGATAGACATTACGTGTAATAAAGATTGCAAAGGGTAACTATGCGATAAAAGAGGAGAGACATAAAGTACGTAGAAATGCACAACTGTTTCTATCGGAAGAGCAAATCGAAGAAAAAGGTGCAATACTGGCTCGTTACATGCTACTCATTTGCGAGCAGTGATTGACCGATAAACGAGGGAGACGATTAAAATTCATAGCGTGGCTTTATTTAAAAGCCATTACACATTAATCCGAAATGATGGTGTACGATTTGCATGAACACGACAGCGAATTAAATAAGGCCCCCTCGGCCGTTCCTCTAATTATCCTAGTGTAATCAGGAAGAAGCGAAAACACGATCTGTTAGTTGAATAATCTCGACGTCGAGTTGTCCGAAGTGTTCCCTCGGCTTCGAGGAAAAAATTGTTAAAGGGAAGGAACAGCGTTACCTCGGTATGCGCTGTTTATTCGGGGGCGTCGGACAGTAATAAACGAGCGAGTCAATTAAAATTCATGGGACGACTTCATTTAAAAGACATTACCTTTTTGTCGGAGGTGTTAGACGCGAATTTACATGAACATTTTCTGTAGTTATACTGCCGTTATACTTGAGTATTCTCCTGTGCTTTCGCCGTTGCAACATTGTGGGACAGGAATTTTTCAAGATAGTTCCCGTCGTGCGCCGGCGGACACCGGGCACGACAATTATTCGGGAGATCCTAAGGGTGAAGTTCCATGGAAGTTCGGAGCGCAGCGCGGAAAGCATTCGTTGGGATGATCGATATCAGTGCAGTCAGTCGATTCGTGACCCTCGAAACACGCTGTTATCGCTGTTGCAGTGCAACGGTCTCTCCTTTGTACAATCAACCCCTATATTCAATTAGAACTTTGCGACCGATACGACGTGCACGTTGGATTAATATATACGTGGGATACGAACTTACCACTCGACGGCTAAACGAGAACGGAAACAACGTTTCCACCGGAAAATTCTGCCCTTCGTTCCCATCTCTACCGAAGCATTTGCAAACATTCCTTCGTCGTTTTCATATTTCCATCCGATTTTCCTCTGTGTCCGAATCTCTATTCGAATCGAAGATAGCGCGCTTAGGAACACCTTTCGTAGCAAAATTAACGTCTGTCAGGCGAATAATGATCGAAACTTCAAATCGAAGTTCGAACCGAAGGAAACTTCGAACTTTCAAGCACACTAATCTGCCGATCACTTTCTCCGATCGCGAAGTCGACCGCAGTTCCGCTCGCTCTCGGGATCATCGAGGGGAGAAATAATTTTCCAGATCGTCGATAACGTTTTCTTTTATTATATTCTTCAGTTAATAACGGAACAAGCTCGCGTCAATTTAGCCACGCGTTATTGCTTCCTCTTACATCGCGAAATTTGCGTGCAGTTTCCTCGCAGGTCGCGTCGAAGTTCGGAGGGCAACGCTGACCCATCCTTCGCCTCGATGGGGATCGTATCATGCAAATTGCACACGTTCGGGCAACTTCGGAAAGCTTCCCCTTACACAGTTCGAATAAGTTACGTATCTTCTGTTCCCTTTTTTTCGGAATAAAATTACAGGGGAAGTTCGAAGCTCCCGCGCGTCCATTCGGGACAATTTATCGCTAATTCCCCGTCGGCCCGTTTTCATCGTGCCGCGATCTCCCGACGGTTGCTTGTATTTTTACAATTATCCGTTATTATTCGACACCTTTCTCCCTTCTGGAAAAACGAAGAGATAGTCTTCGAAACTCCTCGCCTCGAGATCCTTGTCGCGCTCGCCGATCGTCGCTTTAACAGGTGTTCGACACGCGTGCGGGCCCGAACAACCGAAAGACATGCACGAACTTATTAAACCTGATTTACGCCGGCCCCTCGGTCACGATATCATTGCACGATCGTCGGATCGTTGCATTGTTGCCGGATGACAGCGTTCACGCTCCGGAGTCGGGATACCTTTCGAGCGATCGGTTGTTCGCTGCAATGCTGCGTCCTTTGGCTCGGTTATTCTGACTGTATCTTTCATCGATGGTTGATCACTGAATTCCTGACTCTTACCTTCAATCATCTAGAGCCCAGTATAATACATCTAAACCTCGATGAGAATCTAAGGAAGTTCATAGAAACGAAACTTCCACTGGAAGAAACTTGCAACTTGTGAAAACAAACACTTCCCTCGATTCTTATTCAGTTTATTGTTCATCGAAATTTCTCTAGAGATCTGCGAAGTGTCATCTAAGCACAGAAATATCCATGTTCGTTACCTTCTGATTATATTAACCCTCTATGGGCCGAATTTTTTTTCATGATTGTAACAAACTCTATGCAGTACAGAATTAATAAATGTCCACATAGGAATGCGAATCAGCAATGTATTTAATAGTTTCACTAATTTCATCAAACGAATATATTTTGTAACTTACAAGTTACAATGACGTTGAACTTTCACGCCTGGCCGTATAAAAGTTTACTCGCCACTTCGAGTGCAAAATGAAATAAATCAACAAGATACCAATATACTGACATGTGACTTTAACCCCTTAACGCACAGTTTTTTTGAAAAAAACAGGCCAAAAGAAATCAATTTTGATATACTGCGCTTTTGTTCCATGGAAAAAGGCTATATTTTATTTTTGAATAAGTGTTATAGCTTGCAATCCCATGTAAATGATAAATATCTATAAAACGATTTTTTTTCTTTTCTTTCACATTGTTATTTTCACAGTTCGGCCTGTTTAGTGCGCTCGAATTAACTCGAGCGTACAAGTTAAGGGGTTAAAGTTACATGGGTCTACAGAGGGTTAAATTTCGATCGATGTCTAACGAATCTGTAGCATCCGTCGTTCATCGAACAGAAAGATGTAGGGCGTAGATAGCAAGTAAACGAAGCTTCGAGCTCGTCCTCGAAGTATGAATGGCAGCCGCGTTTTTCTCTGTGAACCGGAAGACAGGGAATTCGTGGTCGCGGTAACCGGTGAAAGTCGTAAGTTCCGTCGGTCCGTTGTTTCCCCATGAATTGCACCGCCCCGGGGCGGCTTACGAAAGCCCGTGGTGTGTGCATGCCGAACCGAGCCGAACCGAACCGTCCGTCCGTCCCGACATGCATGCGACACGCGACCCACACCAGCGGACACACTGTACACAGCACACCTAACATGACCGATCGGTCTGATCTGACAGATCGTTGCCTGTCCCCAGGAGGCATACTCCGTACTTTGGCCAACCGGACTACAGGCTCTACGAGCTGAACAAGAGGTTACAGCAGCGCACTGAGGTGAGTACATCTTCCATTCACTTATTTGTCTTCTCTCTTTCATCCTTTTTCTTACAGCTTCCATCGAGTCGTGCTAACGATTTCGGTTTCGAGGATGTTAGACTTATTTTGGTAGCAAAGCAAAGCTGCGAAGCAAGAATTATTTACCCTTTGCACTCGGGAGGTGACTCTCAGTCACCGCTTGATTTCCTACGGTGAAGCTATAAAGTTTGATGTTTAATATTATACTTCATATAATGCATTAACCTGAGAAATGACGTAAAAGAGTTTTGTCCGCCAATTCACGTGAATTTCTCGTCGAGTTGGTTTTACAATATATCGTCTTCATCTCATCAGAAAATGTTGAAATATTTCTAGCGAAAAACTTCGGAATGCAAAGGGTTAATTCTCTGATATGAACATTCTTATATTAACCTATTATCTAGTTATTTACGTTACGGAAAATTTGTATTCGAAATCAATTGTCTTCCAAGTCATAATTATTTTCTTGCAATTTGGAAGCTCCGGTCATCGGTGACCGTGGCAGTCAGGGTTAACCCTTTGCGGTCTTGGTTTTTCACTTTGAGGTTCACGTCGATGTTAGCTCATTCAATTACAGCTTAATACGACGCTCTGTTTATTTATTCAAGAATATTTGGGAGTCATTGAAATGTTACCTTTAACCCTTTGCGGACGAAGATTCTTTGAAATATAGAAAACCGTCGGTAGATGAAGCTAAATTATAGATCGATTGCTTAGATAATTGGAAAAGGGAAACTACGTACTGATTTCCTGCTGTTTTAGTAATTAAATCATTTGTTTGCGACTTAGTGTCGCAAATATGAACGTCTGATCTCGCCAAAGTGTCGACGTTCGTCCGCAAAGCGTTAAATGGTACAATTGTGATATTACAGATAAATATAGAAGAAATTGTTAAAACAAGTAGAGGTTGCAATAAAATAGAATGTCGAGTCTGACTCGACATAGGACTGCTAAGGGTTAACGATTGAAGACTGGACGCGTTAGAACCTGTTAACGAGACGATTGCGTAGCTGTTGAAACGTTAGCAGAGTATCAATTCGTTTATATTTTATATACATGTATATATAATTATATTTCAATGTTTTCGGGCAACAAAGTGATAGACACAGATATCCACAGCATTTCGAATATACGATATCCGGACTCTCTCAGTCCCAGACTTCAATTAGTCCAGTTTTTCAGCGATTTTTGCGGAACCGAAGCGATCGTATACATTAGCGATTGTATTTCCAAGCTGCGACTTCAAAGTGTAACAAAATCGTATTTAATGAAACTCCGATAATTACTCTCACGGAAGATCCAATTATTCCGTGCGAGGTAGCAAACGAGATCAATAGATTTGAATTATACGCGTGTAAGTAGACGAAATTTCCGGCGGCCGGCTCGGAGGAACGAATCCCCGGTGCATCGATATATTCGATGGTCGCGGGCACGACGTCGATGCTAAACCGATCGGGCCTGCAGACGTTCGATTCCGCGCATTATAAAATTATCTGGCCCATATACCGCGGCCGAATGAGCTGGCTGTCCTTTCAGAGATTCCTGATAACCACGAGATAAGATATAACCCCCCCGGGAATAGATTATCGTACGTGCACATGTCGTCTCTTTCCACGGGCTATCGAATTTTCCGTCGATTTCAGACGGGACCGGGGATTAATAGATTCTTTCCGCGAGCGGCGCGGCTCGGGGGCTCGATTTCATGCGAGTTTTCGAGGGATCGCGCGCCGGAACCATACATCGAGCCGCGCGTCGCCACTTTGACGGCCGATACCCGAGAAAAATGCTGGGACTCCGACCGTGAACATTCCGACTGGCAAACACGAATCCGCGTTCTCTCTTTTCATCCCTTCCTCCTTCCGTTCGGCGACTCCGCGGTGATTTATTCTCATAAACAGACTACAATAGATCACCGAATAATCTTAGAGACAAAGCTACGCGACTAACACGAGGATGTCATTAACCCCTTGCCGTACAATGACGAGTGAGACTCGCGGTGAAGATTTTCAACGCGGTTCAACAAATATATATAGTACTCAGTTGATTCGAATTCGAAGTAAATATTGTTAACCCCTTAACTTGCATGCTCGAGTTAATTCGAGCGCGCTAAACAGGCCAAACTGTGAAAATAACAATGTGAAAGCAAAGAAAAAAAATCGTTTTATTGATATTTATCATTTACATGGGATTGTAAGCTATAACACTTATTTATTCAAGAATAAAATATAGCCTTTT